ACCACCAAAAAACCCAAAACAAACCAGAACTCACCTTTGTTCTTAATCTACCAACTTCATTGACCATTTCAGAATACCTGTTCTTCACTTCTCCCTGCAAATTAAGCTGGGACTCTCTCTCTCTCCCCTCATACATCCTGAGTTTCTTCATAGCTCTGTTCAGAAGCCTCTTCAACCTGCACAGCAAATGAGTCAAGAAGGGAAAGAATAACACAGGTTTCAAAATAAAAAACACCACCACCAAAAAACCCAAAACAAACCAGAAACTCACCTTTGTTCTTAATCTACCAACTTCATTGACCATTTCAGAATACCTGTTCTTCACTTCTCCCTGCAAATTAAGCTGGGACTCTCTCTCTCTCCCCTCATACATCCTGAGTTTCTTCATAGCTCTGTTCAGAAGCCTCTTCAACCTGCACAGCAAATGAGTCAAGAAAACAATAAAGCAAAGGAACAACGGACCTTTTTCACATACTCTCACTTAAAGAGCACAGACATGGCTTGCTTCACCGTTAACGTGCTTGACATACTAGGAATTACTGAGAAAAACCAGTATTCCTGTGCCGCAAATCACTTGGAGGGTCCAAATTTCACCTGCAAAGAGGAATAAAGGACTTCCTTCCCTCCCAGGAAAACCACAAGGCAACCTACATTTGCAGTTCTTTTGGCAACTATTGAAAAATACAGATTCATGCACAGAAGGACCTTGCAAGAACTAACATGGGGCTTCAATTTGCTCACAGTTATGTACACCTATTTTTAAAGTTCAATAAAGCTTGACTTCTACTCAGGGATACCTCTTCACCAAAAAGCCGTACCTCTTACAGTCTTTCTGCAGTTCAATGTTTCTTTTCATTTCTTGGTCCAGACGCAGTTCCACTGGGCGTTTCAACTCTACCAGCTTTTTCACTTTCTTTCTTTCACTCTCACACTTTCAGAATAGAAAAGACACATGACACACAGAGCATAGGAACAGTATCTACATGCAGTATGTGCATCTAGCGTTCTCCACAGAGAAGCTGCAGTACGTCTCTGTTAGCCAAGTTCCACAGAACACCAAGAGACAGAACTCCTGAGAACAGTTAATCACTTCAGGTTTCACATCAAACAGGCCAATTGTTAGGCCAACCTAACAACAGAAACAGATGCCCCCACTGAAGCAAAGGCCACCCTCTTCTAATGCTTCAAGGCAAGAGTGGAAAAGATGCTGGAGAACACTTTTGGCAGTTCCTCTGCTCATAGCAGGGATTATGTAGGTATGCGCATGGCAGGAGAGCATAGGTCAACCTAATGCTTTCATGGGCTCTTCAACGACTAGCAGACAGGGGCTTGAAGAGGAATTTGATCTTCTGGAATTCTTCAATGTTTTATTCCCCTCTGCCATTACCTCCATCTCTTCTTGTGGGTATTTACTTATTTACATGTTGTTCTTCCTCTTGGTGTTTTCTCAGCCAAACCAGAGGAGAGCTGGTGGCTGTTTTGACTTTGTACTTCCATTTTTCCTCTATGGAAAACAAGAAAAGGAAAAGACTGCCCCTTGGAAACTGGCAGCCATTTCTTGTTTCCCTAGCACTACTTCATTTGGCCAGAATTCCTTCAGTACGTTTTTCTGCAAGACTTTTAAGCTCCTGCTACCCTGAAAACATGCAGCAGCTCCTCCATACATTGCACTAGAAACATGAAGCATTTTAACCCCGCCCAGAAACCACAGAAGATGACCAGAAGGAATCCAAGGAAAGAACTGGGGAACTGCAGCCTTGGTCCATGTGCTCAACTGATAGCAAACCACACCGGGAACTCTTCCCAATAGAACCACTCCAGAATTTACACAAAAATACCCAGCTAGCTTTTATTCGCTTCCTGGATGATCCCCAAATCACAAAAGCCTGAATGGCAGGAATAACAGAAAAAGCCAAGTATGTAAGAACTCGACAAAAAGGTGAACATGGTTCTCCTGGGCATTGGCTAGGTGTCTGGAGAATTTTCTGGGCTCACCTGTTCCAAGAGTTCAGCTTTTTCCCTGTCAAGCTGAGCAACACGCTCTTCAAGGTGGGATCTTGACTTCAATTGCTCTTCCCACATGCTGTGCGAGTCCTTTGATGTCAGAGCCAGCACATTCTGCTTTTGCATCTGTGAAAGCAACAGTGGCAAAAGAAAAAACCAAGTAGGCAGCTAAGCACCACACAGCCACTTGCCCACTGCCCCGTGGTGGGATGGGGGAGAGAATTCATCATACGAATCATGCTGATGAACACAAGTATCTTGCACACCACCACACAGATACAAAACAGAGCAGCAGGGGAATGAGGAAATTTGCAGCCTTTTCCCTTGAGGATGCCTTGTGCTAAAACCAGAAGGCTATTTTTATCAGCTGAACTGCGCCTACACAGCCCACCTGATCTTTTAATCAATTACCTGCATGCAAAAAATTCAAAAACTAAAACAGTCATTCACAGAAGCCAGTCATGTACCTGCTGATGGTGGTGTTCCTCTGCAGCTGCCTGTGTTGTCTGTAAGCCAGTTATCAAGTCTTCCAGGCGGTTATGAACCTACAAAAGCATTGAAAGAAGCAAGAAGACACACTATGACTTTCCAGACTGAAGTTTACACTTAATTACCAAAAATAAATACTACGTACACCTCTTCACCTCTTCATTCCTATAGTATTTACACCCGGCACCAATGATCAAAATGGCCTTAGTTTGATGCCACTGTAAAACTGTTAGCAATCATCGCCTCTGCTGTTTGCTTCAGGGAGAGAGAACAGTATGCAGGATACAAAGAATCTTCAATGAAAACAGGCAGGAGTAGTGCTTCTCACCCACAGCCCTGTTAACCCACGGGAAAGGACCAGCATTGTGACTGCTTTCCCTCCCCTCTTGTCAGTATCAGTACATCACAAAGTTAAACTTTCACACGTTTTATCACGTTATTTTTAAAATCTCTTCAGCACAACTACAGTCATAACAAGAACCCTAGTTCACTGGTTACAATATAAAAGTAATTTGCTTCATACAGGCGGTAGATGAAAGCACCTTATCTGAGCTAAAATCAACCACTACATAGGGGCACTGGGAAATTCCAAGGCTCGCACTGAGTTCTGCAAATGATAACACAGGCATTCCTCTTCACTGTTTCATGAAAACAAACACACACTGAGTGGCCAAAGGAAAAGCACTTCTGCACAGCAAAAGCTCTGGGGAGTATAATTTTTGTTCCAGTCTGATGATGTCAGTCAGGCCTCTGGCATGAAGCACTTGGCATCAATATCCCCTGTGGAATTTCCACAAGTTAAATTGATGAATACCTTTAATGACACGTATTGCAACAAGTGTCTGATGTCAAAGCGGGTCTAAAGCATACAATAGTTACACCTGTGTATTAATGTCAAGTCCTTACCTTTTAGAGTGTTAAGTTAGAACTTGCTATAATAGCATGGGAAAACTCTCGAAACCAGAAAGCTGCGGAATGGACCAGGCTGCTTTCCAAGCAGCCTATATTCAGTAGAACGCAGGAACTGAGTTCCCCTAGGCTCTCCAGGAAAACCTCATCTTAAAATTTCCCCACAGAAATAG